ACCTTGATAACAACAAGTACATTTAAAAAACTTTTAAAGACATCCTTTTCAAAGATTTTTCTAAAATTTTTTCCCTTATTAAAGACAAAAAAGTTAGGTTGGAAATGTGGCAAGGGCATTTGTTCCTCGTTGTATCGTTGGTTTCTGGAAAATGCTTTAATATGCAAGATTTTGTGCCAAAAAAGCGAGCAAGTTCATTATCAACATTATTCTTATTTAAATAAAAACATTTTTTTTTAATAACAGTTTAATGAATGCTTTCGAGTCTTTTCCGTAAACGCACATTCCGAAGTGCTCATTCCATAAGGAACTGTTTCGTAAGTATTCTTTCGAAATGATTTTTTTCGCAAGTTTCTTTTCGTAAAGCGTTATTACGGAATTATTATTGTTTATTTTTTTCGTATAATGCGTTAAGGTGAGTTTCTACTCATCCGTTTTTTGACGGGAACGGGTAAGGGAAGTGAAAAATAATCACGTGGGCATGCGTATTATAAGTTTTAATTTGTCCGAAGTAAAACTACGCATGCTTACGTGATTATTTTTCCCTTTCCTATCCCGTTCCCGTAAAAAAACGGATGAGTGGAAACTCACCTTTACGGAAGGTGAATTTGGGCATGTACAACTTCCGTAATAGCAATTTTAATTACGGAAGAGAAAAATGCGAAATTTTCGTAAGTTTTTTTTATCGGTGAATCTAGTTTAGTCACAATATTTAACATAAAACTAATATATATTTAAAAACTTGTAATTGGTCTTTACAAGAAGGTAAAGTATTTCTTAAAAAACAAGTTAAATAAAGTTAATTGTTAATTGAGGAAATATAAAAGATTCAAGTCAAAACTGCTTCATTTAGTTTTAATTATGGTGAAACAGAAAATAAAAGTAATTCTACAGTTAGGCAATCTGTAACAATAATAAGAAAAACAAATATTTTATTTTATTGTTAAGCCTCCACGAACATGAGCACAAAAAGTGAAAATACAAATTTATTTTTCGTCTAGACTAAACGGAAAATAAATTTACATTTTCCGTGCAGTCTAAACGGATCAAATAAAATTTGATCGTTTTAATCTGAGCGGTTAGATATAAATTAGGCATAAAGTAACTGTGAAATTTTTATATTTAAATAGAGTTTATTTTTAATTCTAGGTAATATTTAAGATATATTTAATTTCCCATTAAATTAAAGTTAAAAATTAAGAATTTTTTATAATTTTATTTGATTGGATTTGAGATTTAACTTGATTTAGAAAGCTACTCATTTGATGCATCAAACTCATCATTATAGATATTATTATTACAATTTTTAACAAAAAAGAGTTAAAGTTATAAATATTTAAATCTGAAAACATTATTAAATATTATTGAGTATATTTTCATTTTTAAATTTTAACAAGTTTTAAAAAAGAATAAAGCTTATACCCATCATTGTTTGAAATTTTAACTGCTACAAATGAAGACAAATGTGTGTAAGCGTCCGAATTGCCATATTGCTTTTTGTGTTGCTAGTAAAACATTCTTCAAATTAATTATCGTTTTGGATTTAACCATTGGTTTAATTGTAAATACTTATGAGCTTTTTAAACAACTAAATAAGTTCTTTATTTTACTTGACCTATACTATTTAAAAAAAAAAAATCGCAAAATATTCTAATATATCGTACCGAAAAATTGAAATTTGAAACACGAATTAAATCATATATGATTTAAGCTTATGAACGAGATGAATTATATATGATTTAATTCATTCATGAGCATAAATGCGACGTTAGACTTATTTTGGTTTTAAAAACATAAGGTACAAATTTTTTGTGTGCAAATAACCTACAAATCGAATCAAATCAAACTAACAAATCAAAGCTAAAATAATTTCTATATCAGTAATTAAGTAGATTATAATTGCACAGAAAAATTAAAAAAATATGTTAAAAGTCACAATTAAAATTTTTCCATGAAGGCAGTAATATGGCTTTGAAAAAAATTTCAAACCAAACAAATAGAGCATCTTTTTATTAAATTTTTAATAGAATCATAATATTACAAACTTAAAAAAAAATCAGAAAAAAAGTTTTAATAAGAATTTCTAATTATCAAAGTTATATCTAAAATACATTTAAAAATAGTTTCGAAATGCAATATCTGAGCAATTTTACTTTACGTCCTTTTGGAAATTATTTGTTATAAATTTTAAATTAGGCAAACATGGGGTAAGATGACGAATGGGGTAAGATAACGACCTACAGTTATCTCTTAAGCAAAACTAAATACAACAGCTGACTTAAGCTGAAAGAGAAATAGATTATATTTACTAGATTTATTAATGCTTTCTTTTTAGGTGTTACTTTTGTTACGAAAGTTAAGTATTAAAAAGGTTTTTCCGACATTGAAAAAAATTTTTATCCTCGTTTGACTTGATTTATTTCATCTCTACATCACCAGCTAAAGGTAAGCGCGAAATTTCTATTAAGTTTGATTAATCTGAAAGCCATACAAGAAGTAT